TGTATAGCTTCTGATGAGAAATCTACTGTCATCCTTATCTTTGTTCTTCTGCACTTACTTTATCACTGGTTTTAAGCAAGTTAATTAAGTTGTGCTTTGGTTTAGTTTTACACACACACACACACACACATATATACTTTTTTTTACATACATATATATACACACACACACAGAGACTTTTTTTTTTTTTTTGATGGAATCTCTCTCTGTCGTTCAAGCTGGAGTGCAGTGGTGCGATCTTGGTTCACTGCAACCTCCGCCTCTCGGGTTTAAGCAATTCTCCTGCTTCAGCCTCCCGAGTAGCTGGAACTACAGGTGCGTGCCACCACATCCAGCTAGTTTTCATGTTTTTAATAGAGACAGGCTTTCACCATGTTGGCCAGGCTGTTCTCAAACGCCTGACCTCAGGTGATCTGCCCACGTCGGCCTCCCAATGTGCTGGGATTACAGGCACGAGCCACCACTCCCGGCCTGGTTTAGTTTTCTTCATGCTTCCTTCTTTGGTGTTCATTGAGCTTACTAGATTTGTGGGGTTATAGTTTTTATCAAATTAAAAACGTTTGAACATTATTTCTTTAAATATTTTTGTCCAAATACTCACACATTAGGACACAGCTCACTGATGTTCTCTGTCTCTCTCTTTTTTTTCCTGTTTCATTTTGAATTTTTTTCTTTTTTTTTGAGATGCAGTTTCCTTCTTGTTGCCCAGGCTGGAGTGCAATGGAGCAATCTCGGCTCACCGCAACCTCCGCCTCCTGGGTTCAAGCAATTCTCGTGACTCAGCCTCCCAAGTAGCTGGAGTTACAGGCATGCACCACCATGCCCGGCTAATTTTTGTGTTGGTCAGGCTGGTCTCGAACTTCCAACCTCAGGTGATCCACCCTCCTCGGCCTCCCAAAGTGCTGGGGTTACAGGCATGGGCCACTGAGCCTGGTCAAATTTTTTTAATTGTTAGGTTTTCAAGTTTACTAATCTTTTCTTCCACAAAGTTTAATATGCTACTAATCCCATGAGTGTATTTCTAACATACATGGTAGTTTTCATTTTTAGAAGTTTGATTTGGGTCATTTTTCATCTTAGATATCTCTCCTGAACTTTTTGAATATATATGTATATGTATAACTTAAAGTTATAATGACTGTTTTAATGCTCCTGCCTGAGCATTTAACATCTGTGTCAGTTTGGAGAAGATAAAATTAATTGATGATTCCCATCATTATCAGTTATATTTTCATGCTTCTTGCATGTTGGGTATTCTTCGATTGGATATTGAATATTGTGACTTTTACCTTGTTGGCTGTTTGATATTTTCATATTCTCATAAATATTCTTGAGCTTTGTTTTGGGATGCATTTAAATTACTTGGAAACTGTTTGATCTTTTCAGATCTTGCTTTTAAGATTTTTTTAAGCAGGACAATTCTCAGTCTAGGCCTAATGATTCCCCATTGCTGAGGCAAGACCTTCCTGGATACTCTACCCAGTGCTCTGTGAATCTTGAGTTATTTTGTCCAACTAATGGAAGCAGGCTCTATTCTTGGCCCTGTGTGAGCACCAGGCATTGTTACTTCTAATTCTTTTCCGTGGTTATTTCTCTAGCTTCAGGTTGTTTCCTCACAGACATGCACTGACCAATACTCAGTTTAATACTTAAGGGGGAGTATTTCTGTTGCTATAAAGGAATACCTGAGGCTGGGTAATTTATAAGAAAAAGAGGTTTATTTGGCTCATGGTTCTCTAGACTGTAAAGAAGCATGGTGCCAGCATCTGCTTCTGATGAGAGCCTCAGGCTTCCTCCTCTCATGGCAGAAGGCAAAGGGGAGCTAGTATGTAGAGATCACATGGCAAGAGAGGAAGCAAGAGAGGGGACGTGGATGTGCCAGGCTCTTTTTAACAACCAGCTCTCTTGGCAGCTACTATAGTGAGAACTCACTCACTCCTCCTCTTCCAAGAAGGGTATTAATCTATTCATGAGAGATCTACCCCTGTGACCCTGACACATACCATTAGGCCCCACTTCCAGCACTGGGGATCAAATTTCAACATGAGATGTGGAGGGGACAAACCTCCAAACTACAACAGGGAACCTCTGCAAATCTTTGTGTTCTTTCTTTGTGCGACTCTCTCCTCTGCAGTATTTTATCAACATAGCTGCCTCCGTGTCCCTGGCCTCTCAGCAATACCTGCTCACATCCAGGAGCCTGCTGGATTCTGCCTGCGTTCTCCTTCTCTGTACTGTGGCCTGGAAATTCTCTCAGTCATAAACCTGAGACAATCATAGGGCTTACTCCATTTGTTCCCCATCTATTAGGGATTCTATTTTTTTTGGTTGGTGTCCAGTGTCTTAAAAACTATTGTTTCAGACTTTTGTCCATTTTTGGTTGTTTCAGGTGGGAAGGTCAGTCTTTTTATATTCCACCGCCAGAAGGAGAAGTCAGCATTCAATAACTTCTTTCTTTCTTCTTTCTCTCTCTCTCCTCTCTCTCTTTTTTTTTTTCGGGTCTTGCTCTGTTACCCAGACTGGAGTGCAGTGGTATAATCATAGCTTACTATAACTTCAACCTCCTAGGCTCAAGTGATCCTCTTGCCTCAGCCTCCTGAGTAGCTAGGACTACAGGCATACACTACTATGCTCAGCTAATTTATTTTATTTTACTTGATTCAGAGACAGGGTCTCACTATGTTGCCTAGGCTGGTCTCAAACTCCTGGGCTCAAGCAATCCTCCTGCCTCAGCTGCCCAAAGTGTTGGGATTATAAGCATGAGCCACAGTTTCCAGCCAATATTCCTTTATAGTTAAAAATATCTATCATAGGTAATTAAAAAATATCTCTTTAAGTTGCTTTCCCTTTTTCATTTTGTATTTTGCTTTTTTTTCTTTTATCTTAATCTTACTAGAATGTTGTCTATTTTATTAGGCTTTTCAAATAACAAAATTCTGATTGTGCTAATTCTCTCCATAATTTTTTCTCTATTTATTGATTTCCTTTTTTTTTTTTTTTTTTAAGAGAGAGGGTGTCACTCTATCACCCAGGCTGAAGTGCAGCAGCCTGATCATAGCTCACTGTACCCTTGAACTCATGGGTGCAAATGATTCTCCTGTCTCATCCTCCCAAGTAGCTGGGACTATAGGTGCACGCCACCATACCTAATGGTTTTTTTTATTTTTAGTAGAGACAGGGTCTATGTTGCCAGGCTGGTCTTGAACTCCTGGGCTCAAGCAATTCTCCCACCTCAGCCTCCCAAAGTGTTGGTGTTACAGGCCTGAGACACTGTGCCTGGCTACTTTATTGATTTCTGTCTCCTTTTTCCATTATTTTCTCCTTTGTCTCAAATTCTTTCTTTGAGTTTACTCCATTGATCCTTTTAACTTTCTGAGTTGGATGTTTAGCTCATTTGCTATCAGTCTTTCTTTTCTGATCTTGTCAAAGCTGTAAATTACTTTCTGGGACTGGTCTATCTGCATCACATATGCTTTGATATGTAGTGTTTTCATTGGCAGTCACCTCTAAATGTTTATTATTTCCCTCATGATTTTCTTTTTATAGGAGAATCACTTAGAAGGGTTTTGTTTTTGTTTCAGAAAGATGGGATTTTTTAATATGTTATTTTAATATTATTGACTTGTTACTGAAGAACAGAATCTATATGCCAATGATTCCCTGGAGTTTGTTGTTCTCTGTGGCATCATTTCTGAATGTGCCCTTTGTGGTCATTGAGCAAGGGTTCTCTGTCAGTAGTTGTAAATTTTATTATACAGCTAAGGTGAAGATTATTAATTGTAGTAGTCAAATCTTCTTTATGTTTGCTTAATTTTGTCTGTGTAATCCAGCAGTTTCTTAAGGGGAACATATCAAAAACTCCAGTCTCCCATTAATTGGTCACCTGTTTCTTTGTGTATTATAGGCTTTTCTCTGCATCTTCTTGATCATTTCTTATTTTTACTTTATATAATAAGATTCCTCTTTGTCCCTTTATCATGATCTTGCCTTAAATACTATGATCTAGGAAGAAAATTGCTATACCACTTACTTTGTGTTTCAGATTTGCTTGGTATTTCTTTTTCTATCCCCCCTTTCCAATTTATCTGTATCTTTTTGTTTTAAATTTGTCTCTTCATATAGTATATTTCTGGATGATATCTTTTTTCTCTAATTATAAAGTCTTTGTTTTGTTTGTTTTTTTCAACACATTTACATGTAACACAATTGCTATTGTATTAGGATTGATTATAGCCATCTTGTTTTGTGTTTTCTATTTATCATACTTTGTTCTGTTTTGTTTTGTTTTAAAGAGATGGCATTTCAATATATTGTCCAGGCTGTAGGCAAACCCCAGGGCTGCAGAGACCCTTCCGCTGCAGCAGCCTTCGGAGTAGCTGGAACCCCAGGCAGCAGGCCAGCAGGCTCTTTCTGTTTCACTTGAAATCTTCCACTGGGTACACTGTATTTTCTGCTGCTTTGAAGGGTATCCAGTGATTAGATTACACTCAACTTGGGCCGGGCGCAGTGGCTTACCCCTATAGTCCCAGCACTTTGGGATGCCGAAGCAGGAGGATCACGTGAGGTCAGGAGTTTGAGAACAGCCTGGGCAACATGGTGAAACCCCGTCTCTACTAAAAATACAAAAATTAGCCAGGCGTCGTTGCCCGCGCCTGTGATCCTAGCTACTTGGGAGGCTGAGGCAGGAGAATCGCTTGAACCTGGGAGGTGGAGGCTGCAATGATCTGAGATCATGCCACTACACTCTAGCCTGGGCGAAAGAGCGAGACTCCATTGAAAAAAAAAATTACACTCAACCGGATAATCCAGGAAAATCTCTGTCTTAAGGTTCACAAGACGAGTAACATATTGAAAGCCGCTTCCTTCACAGCACTACCCGAATTCGTTTTTGCTGAGTGACTGGGGATCACGAGAGCCGCCTCAGGTCTCTGCTGGCACACCGGGTTCCGGCCAACACCAGGACCAGGGCGCAGCCGCCGCGAGGCGTGCTGACTGTGCCCATGGCGTCCCAGGATGGCCTACGCAGGGGCCGTGGAGGCACACGCCTGAGCCTCCATTTCCTGATCTGGCTTCAGCTTCTTCAGCCCCTGCTCAGTGAGGCCGGGAGTGGACAGGGCAGGGCGGGGCGGGGCTGCGCCCACGCTGGGTGTGGGGTGGCAGTGGGGGTGCTGTGGGAACAGGCAGACGCGGAGGAGGCGCCGCCAGGCCAGCTCCTGTTTGTCACGGGTCCCCGTCTTCACCAGGTGAGCCATACCGACCCGAGGAGGATTCCAGAGTGAACCTGGCAAGCCCAGAAACCCGGACGCCTCCTGTGCACCCGAAATTCCCCCAAATTCCAGAAACCTCTGTAGCTCCAGGGACTTCAGCGCCTGCAGGGCCTCCAGGATCCTGGGTTACTTCAGCATCTACAGTGGGAGAAGCCTTGGAATCCGACGGGATCTCTGACCTTGGAAGGCAATTTTCTCAGGGTATTGTTTCTGGTGCTAGATCTGTCCTGGCCTGCCTGGGAGGTCAAAGGGGACGCAGCCTGGCTCAGGGAGGTTGAGGGTAAGACCCTGACCTACAGGATTTGAGAGAGAGGATAACCCGTCTCCGCCCTGGGCAGCCTGGTGGGGGTGGGGGGAAGGTGGTGGCTTCACTTCCAGTCCCCTCTCTTTAATGAGCCCACCAGCCTGTGGCCACCGTGTTTCAAGGATAATTGGAGGATTGCCAGCCCTAAACAGGAAGTGGCCCTGGCAGGTGAGCCTCCAGACCGAGGACAAACACCTCTGCGGAGCCTCCCTCATCGACAGGCGCTGGGTGCTCACTGCTGCCCACTGTGTCTTTAGGTGAGTGTTTGGGGCTCAGAGCTTGGGCCCTGATCAGGCTGCGGGACCTGGAGCCAGTCTGTCCCCCTCCCTGAACCTCCTCTTCCTCATCTGTAAAAGGGGGTGACAGCCCCATAGTTTTTATCCAGTCTGGGTGAGATCTGAGGATTTGCATTTCTAACAAGTTTCCAGGTGTTGCCACCGCCACCGCTGATCTGGGGACCACGGGCTAAAGTGGTCAGCGGTCCTGGGGGGATGTGGTTTGCAGGAAGGGAAGTGGCTGCTGGCTGGCATAGGAAGATGGGACCAGGCTGGGAAGCACCTGGAAGGTGTGGAAGGGGAGCATAGATGCCCCCCACCCCCGCTCCCCAGGATCTCTGTGAAGGCCATCTTTTCTCTTAACAGTGATTTGGAATACAAGGTGAAGCTGGGAGACACTAACTTGAATGCTGGTTCCGAAAACGCACTGGTGATCCCTGTTAAAGACATCATTTTTCCTAGCAATTTTGATTTTGCCAGTTTGACAAACGACATTGCCCTTGCTCTGCTTGCCTACTCTGTGAATTATTCCTCACACATCCAGCCTGTGTGCCTCCCCAAAGAGCTTTTTGAAGTGGAAACTGGGACAGAGTGCTGGGTGACTGGATGGGGCCGAATGTCAGAGAGTGGTGAGACAGACAGGATGCTGAGGTGGGACAGCCTGGTGGGCTGGGCTTGATCTGCAAGCTATTGGGAGAGGCAGGGAAGCCATTTTCTAGCATGTGGGTGAGGGAGGAGGGTGGAGAAGATGCTGCCAGGAAGTAATTTAACAACTATGCTATGAATTTCTGTTGTCACACTGGGACCTGGGGGCTTGGGGGCCAGGTGTAATGGGTTCTCTTCAGGGTGAATTTCAGCTCAGGGTGATGAGCTGTCTGCCAATAGGAGCCAACCCCCACTAGAAGTTCCTGCCTTGATGGGTCGAACTTCTTCACCCTAGCAGTGTAGGCCAAGCCAGAGCAACCTTGCCAGTGAGGCTGTGGGGACTCCCATCCTTAGGGAGAGGCACTACCTGTCCAAGAGTCTGTGATCCTGTTCTAGAAAGTAAAGATGCTTTACTGATGCACAGGACAGCCTGTCATTTCTGCTGATACTCAGAGTGACAGATACTTGGTTGTCATTTTTCAGGCTGACAAGGTCTTGCCTCTCTCCTGATCTGTTTTTCCTTTTACTGTCTTGATTTTGCTTCTTGTCCTTTCCTTTCTCCATGTCAACATCAGGCTCAAGTTTCCTTCTATGTCAAGTGGGGCCAATATCCACTGCCCTGACTTCCTTTAATTTGGGCAGTTGTGTTAAACACACTGATCAGGACTCAGAGTGGGCACTAGGGGCTCCTGTTATATCCCTTTGTGAAGATCCACTCTCTTGTAAGTTGTCTCTTTGCAGTTTCAGGATCAGGGCCATTTGTTCTTCGGGAGGCTGAGCTAAACATTCTGCGTCATGAGCAATGTCGTGAGATGATCAAGAAGAAGAGTGTAGCCAAGAGTAAAATGGTCACGAGGGGGACCGTCTGTGGCTATAATGACCAAGGGAAGGATTCCTGTCAGGTCAGTTCATGGGCCTCTTGCTACCTCAGCACTGTAGTTGTCTCCTCAAAGCTTCCTCATCCCCAGCCAGTAGGGCCTGGGTTATCTCCTAGCCTCTCCATTACCCTTATTCATGGTAATGGGACATGAGGACAAGCCACCAAGGCTCTCCTGGACAGCCTACCTGATCCTTCAGGAGAGAGCAGCTGACACAGCCTGGAGTGGGAGGAGGGGTGAATCAGGCAGGTCCCACCAACGATACATGCTCCATGTCTTGAGCCCCTTCTGTGTGGCAGACAGTGTACTCAGGTAAGCACCTGACTCATTATTGTCTCAGAGTAGGCACGATTCCATTATGTATATTCTGTTTTTTGGAACACATCTTTTTAGTAGGTACATGATTCTGGTTTATTGGAAATTGTCAATTCTCAGATCTCATATTGACAGATACCCAAGGCTAGGGAGGGTCTTAGGGGTTCCTGGGGAAGCCCCCTGAGTGCCTAGCTCTGCAGCCCATTGCAGTGCCATTAGCCTGCTCTGATGTGGATGCTATTTCTTTCCTACAGTGACTATCTTTCTTTTTCCAGGGAGATTCTGGGGGGCCCCTGGTCTGTGAATTAAATGGCACATGGTTCCAGGTGGGGATTGTGAGCTGGGGCATTGGCTGCAGTAACAAAGGATACCCTGGAGTTTACACAGAAGTTAGTTTCTACAAGAAATGGATTATTCATCACCTGAGACAAGCTTCCTGTCTGAATTCAGCAGACTCCCTCATCCTAGTCCTGTGTCTGATGATGCCCCTGGGCATCCTGGTGGCCCCATGATCAGACCCCATTCCACTCTTCTGCTGTTTCGGAGTCTCACACTTAGATGTCTTCTCTGACCAACCTCCCACTCCTTCCCAATGCCCTTTCTGCAAATCCCAGTTGGAATCCACGGTCCCTCTGGAGATCCATACAATAGAGCATGACAGGGAGACTGGGGCATGGAACATGCCCCTGCCTGGTGCTCTGGTCACTTTCCTCAGCTACGCCTGCACCAGGGTTGTGCTCTGGCTGGTGGGAAGGAGGGAGTGAAGCGATTGCAGCTAGAGGGCCAGCTGTCCTGCCAGGTGGGCCATGGTGACTCATCAATATCTGGGGGAACATCTATCAAAGAAGAGACATCATCAACGGTGAAGCAAGCGTTCAATGTGGTTCTGGTGTCAGGGCTCCCACCTGAGACTTTGTGAAACCAGCCAGCTGGGTGATTGCTCAGAGAGAGTGAAGGAGGCGTTACCAGGTCCCTGCAGAGGTGTGAGGCCTGGGACTTCTACTCTGGCTCCACTGTCTGGGGCTGGGAGAAGATCCCCTGCAGCCCAGTGTGGATCCATCTGCGAGTGGACAGCCTCTGCCACACTGGTTCTTTTGGAGCAACCCATTCTTGGCATCCCCTTCCTCAGTGCCCTAGTGGCCACTTTCAGGGACACCACAAGTTGTGTTGAGGCAGTTATGGAGTGTGGAGTTTTCAGAAATCAACTGAATAAATGTTTGGAGAGTCTCCTGTTTCTGAAGCTCTGCTCACTGGGGAGTTTGGTTGAATATAACATACTCCATAGAGAACTGGCTTCCCATTTAACTAAGGAAGCTATTTATGGTTCTTATTAAAACGTAGAAGGACTGGTGAGGCTCTGCCTCCTCAGACATGAACTCTAGGGATGGTTTTAGCCAATGGGTCTTGTTCCCTGTATGCCTGTTATAGCCATCAGCATCTCTGCAGGGAGCTCTGTAGTTGAGTTTAACAGTCTCTACAGTTAGGGATAGGGGATCAAGAGACACTGGAACTGGGCCCAGGAGTAAAGTTCGGGTGTGAGAAATATTCCTCCTCATCTTCTGCTTCTCCTTGCTGCTCCCTCCCACTTGGCTACCAAAGATGCGATCCCATCGGGAGAAGGGCAAGAGAGATTCACTGTAGTATACATAGGTTCTCTCTTCTCATTACAAAGTCTGGTGTCCTGGAGTCTCTCTGTCTAGCTGCTGATCAACCCCCTCCCAACCTCTTGCCCTTTGCCCTTCTAGGGTTGAATGTTTAACCCCCAGGTATGGGTGGGCTTCAGTGGACAGTCTGTATCAGTCCCTTCTGTTGCCTGAAGAAGGCTGAGGCCAAGAGACTGAGAGCTTACATCAAACCCAGTCTCTTAATGAATATAGCACCACCTGCGTTAAGAAACCACTGATTTATTCATAGATTAATAAAACAAATTTAACTTTTTTTTCCCTAGAACATCCCATTACAGCGTTCTTGGTCAGCAGATAGCTTTCTCCATCTCGTGGCTTGCTCTCAGTCCTGTAGTTAACGCTTTACCTGCATCAGAATCCCCTAAGGCTTGTGAAATACAGATTACTGGCCGTACAGTGGCTCATCCCTATAATCCCAGCTACCTGGGAGACTAAGGCAGGAGGATCCCTTGAGGCCAGGAGCTTGAGACCAGCCTGAGCATGTAGCATGTCTCTTAAAAAAAATTAACTGGGCATGGTGGCCTGTGCCTGTAGTCCCAGCTACTCTGGAGGCTGAGCAGGAAGATGTCTTGAGCCCAGGAGTTTGAGGCTGCAGAGATGTATAATCACACCACTGCCCTCCAGCCTGGGGAACAGGAGGAAACCTCATCTCTTAAAACAAAATTACAGATTCCTGGTTCCTGGTTCCACCCCTGGAGTTTTCAATCCTGTAGGTCTGGGATGGGGCCTACATTCTCTGTCTTTCAGGTAGAAAGACCTTAAAAGAATGTAAATTTACCCGAAAGACCTAAAGAATGTCCATTTCTAAGTTTCTGGCTGATGCCAATACTGCTGGTCTGGAGACCTCACTTTGAGAAGCAATGCTCTGCATTAACAAGAATAGAAAAGGCAACCTCCTGTTGACTGCCTTGGCATGGAAGTGGCACACATCACCTCTATTCATGCGGACCCACTTAAGTGCCAGGCTGGGGAGGGAATGTGGCTCCAAGTCTAGCTGATCACCTCCCAATCTCTGCCATGCCTAGCAGATCCAAAGACAGCATCTTCTGCAAAAAATCCCTGTGGAAGCCCAAGGCCTGGCACAAGCCACCCCATTCCTTTTAGCTGCCACGATCTTACTGGTTGTCTGTGGAAGAGGACACATGCCTTTCCTTTCCCTGGTCTCCCCCAAGAGTCCTTATTTTATAGTGGTCTTAGATCCAGCTCAAATACCACTTTTTCAAATACATCTTCTCTGATTCCATAGCCTTACCGTTCTTTTCCTTATTTGTACTTTCTCCATCTTTCCAGATTCTCAAAGCAAGAGTAATTGTGAAACTCTCCAGTGCACTGGGTGCAGGGAATCAAGGGTGTAGTCAGAGGCTGGGCAACAAGATGCCATTAGTAGTCCAGGGATGTGGCGCACCTTCACCGGCCAGGTTCTCGGGGCATTGTCACCAACTTAAAACCCTTGGGGGTACTTTCATGAGGCCCGCCACGCTGGGAGCAATCACAGACACAGGGCTCCTCAAGAACAGGCAGGAGGTGGAGGTGAGGGAAATGCATCAGTTTTGTGGGGAGCTGTCAGGAGTTCCCGGCGCCGTGACGTGCTACAGTGCGGTCACGTGTGCCGACGCCAGGCACGTGCCGGGCTCTCGGGAACCGTCTCCGCAGCCGCCAGGTGGCACCTCCCCAGCCTCATGGCCGTCTCGCTGTCGAGCCTCGGCGTGGGGCCCGGAACTTCCAGGCCCTCGGTCCTGAGCCGCCACGTCCTGCTGCCGCTGCTGCTTCTGCTGCCGCTGAGCTGGGGTGAGGTGGGCGCTCCTCCGCAGCTCTACCTTCCTTCTCCTCGGCCCCCGGCCCTGCTCTGCCTCCGGCTCCGTGCCTGGCCTTGGAGGCGGGGGACTGCCCCTTGGGTGTGGCTGCCTACTCCTGGGTCGGGGATTTTTGCGGCCCACGCACCCCTCGATCAGCTTTCCTCTACTACTCGCTCCCAGGACCTCGCTAGGGCAATTCCAGGATCTTAAACTCCTGCCCCTTCTGGCCTCCTCCGTCAGGCCACACCTGTCCTACAGTCCCCTGGACCAGCGTTGTGGGGAACCCCTGCCTTCTCTTCTCCACTGGCAGTCTTTTCCTTCTCTCCCAGTCTGGACATCGTGGCTAATGTCCCTACCAACCGAGCCGCCCTCAGGCCTCTCATAGGCTCCCCCTCCACCCCCGGCTGTGATCTTCGCACGGAGCTGAGCCCCACTGGAGACCCCACTTGGACATGCTCTTTGGCCCAGGAAAATTCTTGGTCCCCATCACTGCAGGAGTGTTCTAAAATTCACCTTCTTCCCAGATCCTCTATTCCAACCCAGCTTGCCTCCCTAGTAGCCCATCATTCCCTCAGGAAACACGGGATTCAGGTGCTGTCTTCCTGAACCCAATCCCCAAACCCACAGGGGCTCCTCCAAGCTGGACTGCTCAGCACCACCCTCACCGACTTCTTTAGGAGTCAGAGAGACCTGCTTCTGGTGCAGGGCCAGCGGCTCACCTGTGCCCTGCTGTGTGGGCTCTCCCTGTACGACACTCCCTCCACCATCCTCTCTCATAGGTACCGTCTTGTTTTCGCTTTGCTGATTTTCCTCCCCCATCTCTTGCCTCTTCACTGCCAGACCTCCCAATTGTCTTCACTCCATGCTTCCCACCAGTGCCTCCTCGCTCCCCACTTAACCCTTAGCTCCTTCCTGGGCTGTCTCCACCCTGATCTTCCCTGACCTTTGTACCACTCCCTCCTCTTTCATTTTCTGCAGTCTCCTGATTCTCCTCTACCTCAAGGGTAACTCCCCCTCTCCTCTGTGTCTGTCCCATGCCGCAGACATGTTCCTCCCTGACGTGTTCGTGCCCCCTAAGTTGCTCTCTTTTTCCCGCTCCTCCCCTCTTAACTGCTCACTGGGTGAACTCACTTGAGTTGCCATTTATGTGATGGTGCCTCATAAAACATGTCTGGATGTGCAGCTGCCTCCTAGACATCTCTACCTGAAAGACCTAGAAACATCTCAACCCCTTGGGGTCAATGCTGAGGTCTTCTTCTTCCTGCCAACTGGCTTCTCTCATTGTTTCCTAACTAAGTGGATGGCAGCCACTTTTCTCCAAAACCAGAAACTGGGTGTGATCCTAGACCTGCCCATGTGCCTAAGTCCCCCACACCTTAGAACACCTGTGAGAATGCTGTGTCTGTTCTCACAGCCACTTCCTCATTCAGACCTCCTCATTTCTTGCCTTGGTTCTGCAGAGCCTCTGGTGGGATCTCAGTGCCTCAGTCTTGTCATCTTCCTGTCTAATATCTATACTGCTTTCACAATACAAGCCTGGCTCAGTCATACCTCTGTTGATCTCCCTTTTCCCAGAGGGTCTCACCCTGGCTTCTTGGCTCAGCTTTCGAGGCCTTCATGACTGATGCCTGACTCTCCTCCCCTGGCTCATCTCTTGCCATCACAGGCCTTGCCTCTCTTCCTCTGGAGTCTCTGGCATACAGGATGAAGTTCCTCCTGCAAGGAATGTGATGATCACTTTTCATTTCTGTTTCACCTTCTCATCTTGAACACCTGGCACAGTAAGCCCTCCTACCACTGAAGTGGTCTTTTCTGTCCACCAGTTCTTCTGGGCTCCCCTGAAGCCTGCCGCCCTGTCCCTGCACTGATCTCATGCAGGTGGTTGTGTGTTTACCTCTGTCCGCGCTGCTGGACACTGTATTCCTTGAGAGTAGGCTCTATTTGACACGCCTCTGTCTCCCTGGCCTCTGGCTCCAGGCTGGGAACAGAGGAGAGATTAGGACCTATTTGGTGAATGAATGAATGAACTAATTTTAAAATGGACGTCTTTGCTGTCATCCTGTCATGAGTGCTTGCTTCATCTCTGTCCCTCTTTTCTCCTCCAGGTTATAAACAGGACACAACCAATCCAGGTAGGTAGGGTGAGATCCTGCTGCAGGAAAAGCTGAAGCTCTTGGGAGGGTATGTCTGAAGGGAGTCACATAGACAGTGGTTCTGGGTCTGTAGGAAACAGGCATTTGGTCTAAGGGGTCTGTTTTCTAAAGAATAGCCTGCAGCTACCAGAACACACAGACCTGGCAGTCTAGAGGAAAGAAGATCTTGGCCTGCCATAGGAATGCTGAGCCTCTTGGAATTCTGCCTAGGCCTCATCTCAGACCCTTTTGCACACAGAACCTTTCGAGCTCTAAGCCGTTCAGTTGCAGATAGAGCTTCCCGGACCTTGTGGCAGTGTCAGCAGAGCCCAGCTCTTCTGGGTTTCCTGTCTTTTTCCTTACACCTTAGGCATGGAGGGTTGGGTTACTCCTGTTCTTCAGTTTATGGGCCTCCATTCTCATTGGTCCTGCCAGAACTCTACCCTGATTCATTATAGATTGGATGACTGATGGATTAAGTTAGTTATCCTTGTTTCTGTCCAGGCTCCACTCCCATTCCCCCTTCTCTACCCGCTTAATCTTTCTGGGAGATCATTCTGTTTGTGTGTGCTTTTGTAAAAATACATATTGCTGTCTTGGGTGCATGTATTTTTAATTTACATAAATGGTGTGTTCTCTGTATCTCTTTTTGCTCTCCCCTCTTTTAATTCAGCCTCATTAAGACATTTTTAAAATTTGGAAATAATTTTGAACTTACAAAACACTGCAAAAATACAAGTAGTACAAGGAACACACACACATATATAATTTTTTTCAGAATCAGTGGAGGGTAACATACAGCATGGCTCTTTATTGCTAAATACTTTGGTATGTATTTTCTAAGAATATTCTCTTCCATAACCACAGTACACTTAACAACTTCAAAAGTGTACATTGATACCATACTTTTATCTACCATCCATATTCTAATGTGGTCAGTTCTTCAAACTCCTGCTTCAGCAGTGCATGAAGGTGTATAGGTTGGCACAGACCTACCAACCCTTAGTGTGATCCTGCTTTTACATTTTTTGCTAATCTAATAGATTAAAAAATCACTTATTGATTTAATTTTCATTTTTCTCATTACTGATGAGTTTGATCATGTCTCAATATGTTGTTGGCTTCTTGAGTTTCCTCTTCTAATAAATTGCTTGTCTCTATCTTTTGCCTATTACCTTTTGTTTTTTTTCTTGTTGGTTTCCTAAAGTTTCTTGCATATTTCTAATAAAAGTCTTGTGTTCATTTTAGATATTGCAAATATTTCCTCCCTATCTGTCCTCTGTCTGTTAACTTTGTTCCCGGGCCAAAACCCCTCGATTTTGATATAATCAGGTTAATCAGTTTATGCTTTATGGTTTGTGTTTGAGGTTTTAAGGAGTCCTTTCTTACCTCATGTCACATGATTTATTAATTTTACAGTTTTACCTTTCACCTTTAGATCTTCAAGTGCTTTTAGCAAGGAATCGAGTTTTGGTTTTCTTATTTCTCTTATAGTGAGCCAGTTTTCCCAACACCATGTACTTAACAGTCCTTCTTTTACCCACTGATTGTGGTGGCTCCTTTATTTACATCAAGTTTGTGCAGCACACGGGACAATCTCAAGTTCTCTATTCTTTTCCATTGTCACTTTCCATTGTCTGTCCTTGTGACAGTACTACATTGTTTTTATATTATGGCTTTCACATGTGTCTTAATATCTGCTAGGACAAATGGCCCTTCTTTGCTGTGCTTTTTCAAAGACTGAGCTATTCATAGAACTTTGTTTTTCTGTTTCAGTTTCAGAATAAGTTTATCAAGTTTCTTAAAAATTCTAACTTACAAAATGAATTTGCAGATTAATTTTGGAAAAATTACATCTAAAATATTTAGCTGTCTTTTTTTCTTTCTTTTTTTTTTTTTTTGAGACAGAATCTTGCACTATTGCCCAGGCTGGAGTGCAGTGGTATGATCTCAGCTCACTGCAACCTCTGGCCCCCGGGTTCAAGCAATTCTCCTGCCTCAGCCTCCCGAGTAGTTGGGATTACAGGCGCCCGCCACCACGCCCAGCTAATTTTTTGTATTTTTAGTAGAGATGGGGTTTCACTATGTTGGCCAGGCTGGTCTCGAACTCTTGAGCTCGTGATCTGCTTGCCTCCGCTTCCCAAAGTGCTGGGATTACAGGCGTAAGCCACTGCGCCAGGCCTTAACTGTTCTTTTAAGAGCAGGGACTGTCTTGCCATTTATGCTGATCATTTTCTGTGTCCTTTATTAGAGTTTAAAATTTATTACCGCAGGAGTCTTGTGTAGTGTTAGGTAAGTTAATTCTATGAACTTTAGCATTTTTTGCTGCTGAAAATGTATCTTACTTCAGTATGTTTTCTAGTTGGTTGTGCTGGGATAGAAAAACATGATCGTTTTTAAAACGAAATTGTTTTATTGAAGTATTACATGCATTCCAAAAAGCACAAATTATGAAGGTCCAGCTGAAGGAATTGTCACACAGTGAGCACACCTGTGTCATCACCACCCAGGTTAAAAAGTAGAATAAGTATGTAGAGAGGCTGAAGTGTGAGGATTGCTTGAGCCCAGGAGTTTGAGACCAGCCCTGGCAACATAGCAAGACTGTCTCTATAAAATATTATTAAAAAATTAGCCAGGTGTGGTGGCAACCGCCTGTAGTCCCAGTGACTCGGGAGGCTGAGGTGAGAGGATCGCTTGAGCCTGGGAGGTCAAGGCTACAGTGAGCAGTGACACTGCACTGCAGCCTGGGTGATAGAGCGAGACCCTGTCTCAAAAAAAAAAAAAAAAAAAAAAAAAAAGTAGGCTAAACCAGCACCCAGCAGCCCCCTTGCGTTCTGTCAGTTATTTCCTCTGCCCTCCTTCCACAAAGTGTCCTTATTCCTGGTCTCTGGTGGGATAGGGTCTTTTCCGCCTGTTCTTTAGTGTTGTATGATGTTTGTTGTAAGTTTGGGGTATATCTAACTTTTGTAAAGTTAAGGATATTCTATCTGTTTCTAGTTTAATAAGAGGGATTTTTTTGTAAGTCATAAATATGTGTTAAATTTTTCAAATGCCTTTTTCTGTGTCCATGGAGGAAAGCGCATGGTCTTTCTGTCTTCAGATTGTTAGAGCCTTTTATGTGGAGAATCCACTGAGAATTCTTCTAATGTGGAACCAGCCCTGCACTCCTGGGCCAATCCTTAATCATCATGGTGCATTGATTTTTTAAAAATACAATGTTAGCTACTATTTTATGTAGAATGCTTGCATCTGCGTTTCTTCATACATTCATACAACTGTATAACTTGACTGATAGAACTGTGTGCAAACTGAGTGTGTGGCCTGTGAGTGAGGGGCCTCTGGGGTCTCTCTGCTGGCACTTTGAATGTTCAATGTGAAAACTTCTGACACAGAAGTCAGGAGCTTTTCTTGACTCTGAGCAGTGTGGGGGACAGAGGCCTTCTGCATCTAAGAAATGCAGCAAGCATTATAGCTTTTCAGAAGTGGGAGGAACTTCCCCAGATGCAAGAAAACGCATTTCTTGCTTTGGGGCTCCTTCTCTGCTTGCCTTTGTTTTGAGGTCCTGGGCTGAAGGCTCCCTGTGACTCAGAATCTCTCTCTCTCCATGTGTCTGCCTTGATGCTTTTTACCTCTGTCATTGTCACTTCCCATCAAGCTCTTGGGCAGAGGCCACTGCCCTTCTCTCACCCTCACTCTCCCCATCGCTGAAATGGGAAGAGCCCCTGACTTTACAGCTTTGTGCACATTGGCCCTGTAGGGCGTCTAGGTCTCAGTCTTTCTCATTCTTCTCTATGTGGTTGCTGTGTGTCCCCGGCACACTTCTTCCTGAAGTTTGTGGTGAGCCCTGGTGGTCGGAGGATTTGGAAATGACCCGCCATTGGCCCTGGGAGGTGAGCCTCCGGATGGAAAATGAGCACGTATGTGGAGGGGCCCTCATTGACCCCAGCTGGGTGGTGACTGCGGCCCACTGCATCCAAGGGTGAGTGTGGCCCATGTGTCCAGGGCTTGGAGACCCCGAGCTACCATGGGCCCAGTCCAGCTTCCTCATTTCCTGAGTGAAACAGTGTGGGAGGGAGGGAGGGAGGAAGTGGGAAGGGCATCTGGGATAGGTGAGAATTGTGCTCGGGGTCTCCTGGGGACCAGGGACTAAGCTAGGGCAGGAGCCCCAAGCAACAAAGATTACACCCTCAACTGAGCAACAGGAAAACCCAGAACATACCCCTTACCCCATCACACATGAAAGCATATGTGTACACCAACACTTCCACACCTGCACGCACAGCACACAGACCAGGCCACCTTGAATCAGTTTGAATGATGAATGAGGAGGCAGGCAGCTGTCCGAACTTCAGTGCCCTCAGGCTAGATTAGGCAGATGGGGTGGAGGCAGGACTCCTGCTAAGGGGGTAGGGCTGCGTCCCCACTGGAGTAGGGTAGGAGTGTGTTCCTGCTTGGGAGTCTGATACCTACCAGGTGGGGCTCTCTGTCTCCCACAGCACCAAAGAGTACTCAGTGCTGCTTGGCACCTCCAAGCTGCAGCCCATGAACTTCAGCAGGGCCCTCCAGGTCCCTGTGAGGGACATCATTATGCACCCCAAGTACTGGGGCCGGACCTTCATCATGGGTGACGTTGCCCTTGTCCACCTTCAAGCACCTGTCACCTTCAGTGAGTATGTGCAGCCCATCTGCCTCCCGGAACCCAACTTCAACCTGAAGGTTGGGACACAGTGTTGGGTGACTGGCTGGAGCCAGGTTAAGCAGCGCTTTTCAGGTGAGCAGGATGGGATGGGAGGTGGGTGCGGTACCACCGAGAGCACACTCCTTTCCTTCTGGGGCCTTTCCTGCTGGACCTGGTTCTCTGAATGTGTTAGGACCACTCCTCATGTGGTGACCATTGTCACTGTTTATGTGGACACCTCATTCAGGCCTGGTAGTGCCTGGGCTGGGCATGACCATCTGTGTCTTACAGAAGCTCAGAACTGGGCATTCACTCATTCATTCACTTGACACACTTTGAGTGTCAGCACCCAGCCCTTGGGATTAGAAATGCATGCCCTGCCTGGAGGGAAGTCATGTTTGGGTGTGGGTGTGGGCACAGGCTGAGGAAAACAAGGCAAAGTTCTTGTCTGGTGGTCTTGAGATCCAGCTGGGAGGGATCCGGAATGAGCTCTGGGCAGAGGGACTGCCTTGAGGCCCTGGAGGAGGAGCGAGTGTTAACGAAGGTGGAGAGAGCGGCCATGCCGGCAGAGCTGACAGTCTGCAGGGAAGCCGCGTGGGGCTGGGCACCAGACTGGAAGCAGCTGCAATGAGACTTGAGTTATGGCTGGCTTGGTTCAGAAGCAGAAGTTTCCCAAGAAGGGGATCTGGACTCAGAGCCTTTGAGGGCGGGGACTTCTCAGACAAGGCCTGCACTGCAGGGGGAGGGGCCGGTAAAGGAGGGGAGGGCTTGGAGGTATGACAGGGGGTGGCTGGGCTGAGTCTCCAGAGTGAAGGGGACAGGACCCTGGACAGAGGTCAGGGTTGGGTGGAGTGAGAGGTCACTGCTCACCCTGCTGGGCTCCACAGCCAACTCCACGCTGACCCCAGAGCTGCAGGAGGCTGAGGTGTTTATCATGGACAACAAGAGGTGTGACCAGCATTACCACAAGAAGTCCTTCTTTCCCCCAGTTGTCCCCCTTGTCCTGGGGGACATGATCTGTGCCACCAATTATGGAGAAAACTTGTGCTATGTGAGTTTCTGAGAGGTTCTGGTAGCTCCACTTCTGTTGCGAACCACTCCCGGGTGGAGGCAGTTCCCTGGGGTGGGGTTGGCCCGGCCTCCCTCCGTCACCATCACCTGGCGGTGCTCTGCTCCTGTCTTCCTTCCCCTGTGATGCTGACTTTTGCCCCGGTTCTGGGGTATGGGTCCCAGCTGAGGAGCCGAAAGAGGCCCCCAAGTAGGGGGGCCCTGCGGGAGTGAAAAGCCTCCCAGCAGAGCTCAGAGGGTGGGCATGGGTCCCCAGGGCCCCGCAGCCCCAGCTGGACCCACAGCCTCCACCACTCCTCTCTTTTTGCCTAGGGGGATTCTGGAGGGCCATTGGCTTGTGAAGTTGAGGGCAGATGGATTCTGGCTGGGGTGTTGTCCTGGGAAAAGGCCTGCGCCAAGGCACAGAATCCAGGCGTGTACACCCGCGTCACCAAATACACCAAATGGATCAAGAAGCAAATGAGCAATGGAGCCTTCTCAGGTCCCTGCGCCTCTGCCTGCCTCCTGTTCCTGTGCTGGCTGCTGCAGCCCCAGATAGGCTCCTGACCTCCCTACCCCTTCCTCCTCCTGCCTTGCCTTTGCTGAATGGGGCCAGATGGAGGTTTGACCACGGTCATGTGTCCATCTTCAACAAGAGCCAGGGTGGGGAAGAGTAACCCCTGGGAGAATGGGTCTGGCTTTGGCATCCTGGTGAGAAGTGTGGTGGATGACTAGGCCTTGGGTGAGCAGGAGAAGGGAAGTGCAGCCTGGAAGGATTCTGGAATCTGGGACCAGGAGAGCAGGGATTAAACATGTGTAAACTTGAGCTGACTCTTTTCTCTTTTCTGGGGTAGTCCTGGAGGTTGGCTGTGGGTGGAATGGCAGAGCTTCCTGGAATTAAGTCTGCCAGGAGCCTCTCTGGAGTGCGGACTGCTGGTTTTTGCTGTATCATTAGTGCTGGGACTTAAGAAAAAGGTCTGGGCCTGTGACCTCAGTTTCCTTGTCTGTAAAGTAGGCGTGCTGTTGAGGGAACAGCTGAAACAGGCAGGCTTTTAGGCTGCAGCAGGAGTGACTCACGATAGTACTCCAAAAGCAGCTTGCTTTCTGTTTTTAAACAGATTATAAAAGTAGTGCATGTTTATTGTAGAAAATTAGAAAACACAGTTGAACCTAAAGAAAGGAGACTTCCCCTGGAGTCCCACCACGTAGAGACATCTGCTTCTCATTTTGGTATATTTTCTTCTACATTTTTTTCTTAAAAAATATTGCTCATAATCTTTTTTTTTTTAAGAAAAAAAGTAGAAGAAAATATACCACAATGAGAAGTGGATGCCTCCATGTGGTTATTTTATTGCTCTTTTTGTAACCTCTTGAGTAGTGTGCTTAGTTCATTATTTTAGACTTCCTTGTGTTCTAGTATTTTCAGTTAATTCCGTAAATTTTCCTCTGAGTCCCACTTTGGCCATATTTCACCGGATTTGATACGTACTGGCCTCATTGTCATTCATTTCTGTATTGCTTATAATTTCACAGTATATTTCTTATTTAGCCCAAGAGTTATGTAGAAGGGTGTTATTTAATTTCCTGGTGGTTAGTTCTGGGGAGGAATGAGAGTTTCTTTTTCTCTATATCACTACAGTCATATGCCACATAATGACATTTCAGTCGATTACAGACCACATATACAAGAGTGGTTCCATAAGATTATAATGGAGCATATATAGAAAACTGATATATGGTACTTGATAGTGGCATTGCAGACAAGTAAGGGAAATGACTGATATTCAGTAATGGTGCTGGGACATTTGGTTTTCCTGATGAAAAAATACATATACATAAAAATATATATGTACCATCTAGGCGTGTGTAAGCACAGTCTTTTGTTTGCATGGTGATGAAATTGCCTAACAATGCATTTCTCACACTGTATCCCTGTCATTAAGTGATGCACAACTGAATATGAATTTAATTATTTCTGCATTTTTGAATTTTTTGAGGTTTTACTTGTGGCTTAGTATTTGATTAGTCTTAGTGAGTGTTACTTGTGCGTCTGAAATGAAAGTGTGTGTTTTCAGGAATGTTCATTGCAGCACTATTCATAAGAGCCAAGACATGGAAGCAACCTAAAGGCCCATCAATGATGCTGGATAAAGAAAATGTGTTACACAAACACCGTGGAATACTATGCAGCCATAAAAAAGAATGAGATATGTCTTTTGCGGGAAAATGGATGGAGCTGGAGGCCATTATCCTTAGCAAACTAATGCAGGAACAGAAAACCAAATACCGTATGTTCTCACTTATAAGTGGGAGCTAAATGATGAGAACACATGAACACATAGAGGGGAACAACAGCAGCATTGTTCCTGGGGTCTCCTTGGTTTTGGTGATCTAAGAGAGGAGGGAGAGGAACAGAAAAAATAACTGTTGGATCCGAGGCATAGTATCTGGGTGATGAAATAATCTGTACAACAAAGCCCCGTGACACAAGCTTACCTAAGTAACAAGCCTGCACATGTACCCCCGAACCTAAAATAAAAGTTAAAAGTGTGTGTTTTAGAACAAAGTCTGAGGCATAACTGATTGGATCAGGCTTGTTGATTGTGTTATTCAAATTATCTCAACACCTGACATATTTTACAGCTACATAATTTGTTGATTTCTAAGAAGTTTACTGCAAAAATTAAGAATTTGTCTATTTCTTCTTGCACAATTCTTCCTTTCTATGTTTCAAAGCTGTGTTGTGAGGAATATAGGGTTCATGCCTGCTGTATTATCTTAGTGGGTTACACCCTACCAATAGAAAACATGCCCCTTGTCCCATGTAACATTACTTGTTTTTTCAAAGATCCAGATCAGAGTTCATTCTTAATTTTGGCGGTTCTTCTAATTGATTAAGGTACAATTTTATATTTTGTACTTTTTTTCCTTCAGATTTTCCTCTGGTTTATTTTCTACTTTTTACAGTTTTTTGATTTGAGTGTTTAGGTCATTTATTTTCATTCTCTGTTATTCAATAATAAACATCTTTAAGGTTATAAATTTGCTCGGGCACACGCAATAAGGTTTTTAAATAATGTATTGCTCTAATTATTAGTATTATTCTATTAGTAGTTGTATAGCTATTCCATCTCTCAAGGACAGAGTGAGTTGGAGAAGACTGTCCCACTGCAAGAGAGATTTTCCAATTTCTCATGTTTTGCTGATTGATTTTGTTTCATATGTTTGATGTTATTTTATTGATGGACAGAACTTTATGATGTTACATATTGCAATTTGTGCCTTTTTCAACACAAAATAGCTTTCTTTTTCTGTTTAAATCATTTGTCTTGAATCATTTTTAAAGATTAACATTGCCATTGCCACTTTGGCTTGCATATAAATACATTTCTGCCTATCTTTTAAAAATTTAATTAATTTCTAATTTTTTAAATTAATATTTTTTGAGACAGGGTCTCACTCTGTTGCCCAGTCTACAGTGCAGTGGCGTGATCTCAGCTCACCACAATCTCAGCCTCCCGGGTAGCTGGGACCACAGGCGCATGCCACCACACCTGGCTAATTTTTAAAATTTTTTGTAAAGACGAGGTCTCACTATGTTGGCTAGGCTGGTGTCCAACTCCTGGGCTCAGGCCATCCGCCCGCCCCAGCCTCCCAAAGTTCTGCGATTGCAGGTGTGAGCCACCAAGCCCAGCCACATCTTTTTACTTTCACCTTATTTATGCCACTTTGTTTTTGGTGTGTCTCTAATAAATAGTATGTGGATGGGTTTTTTTCTACCTCATAAATAGTATGAGGATCTTTTTATTTTAAAAGTAGAATTCTGTGCATTCACATTGGTTGTGATAACAGATATGCCAGATCTTTTATTCAGTCATCCTGTTTTGTTTTATTGATTAGTAGTTTCCCCCAAAGAATTATTTTCTGCAAAGAGAGAAGAGCGATCGCGTTTCTCTTCTCTGAAGTTTCTCTTTTCTTTCTCCTTTCCCTTTCTATGTCTTTCCCCCTGGAGGGAATCTGATTGTACAGATAATAATTTCCTTGATTTTCTACCATATATCTCTAAAATTAGTTTGTTTTGCCTGTTTTTGAATTTCATACAGTACAGAGACTGTATCCGACTTCTTTCGCTCAGAATACGGTGATGAGAGTCACCATCTAGTTAGGTGTAGCAGCAGCTCATCCATTCTCACCGCTGCTGAAGATTCTGTGTAGCTGTTGCGCCTTGGATGGCAGTTGGGTAGTTTCCAGCTGGGACTCTTCCCAACAGCGCTGCTAGTGAACAGTCTCTTGCACCTGTCCTGCTGCATCTGTGCAGTTTCTAGGGCATGAAGCCAGGAGTGGAACTGTGGGTTGTGGGGTAGGCACACTTTCTGCTCTGCTAAATGATTCCAAACAGTCGTTTACAGTGGTCATGTCAGTTTATCTCCCCAGCAGTGTGTGAACAACCTCGTCACTCCGTGTCCTTGGCAGCACTGGCTGCAGGGTGGAGCGGGAGCTTCCTGCATGGACAGTGTGAGGAGCCTGGGATCCTTGGGAGGGGAGACCTCAGGGGAGTGGTGATGAGGTGTCCCCAGATGTCATTCATTCTGCTGATTCGTGAAGACCCAAGTCTGCAAGCAGCTTCCTCTCAGGAAGCCACCTTCCCAGGTTAAACATACCTAGATTTCCTCAACCCAGGAGCTCTTCTCTTGAAAATACAGACCCTGGGCTGGGCACAGTGGCTCATGCTTGTAATCCATGGAGCTTGAGACCACTCTGGGCAACACAGTGAGACCTCGTCTCTAAAAAAATTTTTTAAAAATTAGCCAGGCATGATGGTGCACACCTGTGGTCCTAGCTACTCAGGAGGCTGAGGTAGGAGGATTGCTTGAGCCTGGGAGGTGGAGGCTGCAATGAGCTATGATCTCACCACCATCACACTCCAGTGTGGTGACAAAGTGAGACCCTGTCTGAAAAAAAAAAGAAAGAAAGAAAAGTAAAGAAAATACAGACCCTGAGGGAAAAAAGAAACCTCCAGTTCCACCTCAATCACATCACATACTACAGGAACTAGTTATCTTCCTCTCAGTGCCTCAGTTTCCACACCTCCAGGGGGGAATGAGAGGGGTTCACAACGAAACCTGGGCTGGGCACTAGGGTGCCTCATGGGCCAGGCACCAGGCACTGTCACAAGCCAAGCATGTCGTGCTGTCACAGGCTCAGAACTATGCACCGGGGGCACCATCAAGGCCAAGGCTGGGGTACACTGCAGAGAACTGGGCCCAGGAGGCACTGTCATGGGCCGAGCACCAGGAGTACCGCTCCAGGGAGGTTCCTGACAGCAGCATCACCTTGTGGCCCTGGCAGGGCCTTGCCATGACCACACTGCCTCCTTCTCAGAGTCCTGTGACTGCCACAGCCAGGTAGGTCCCCAACCCTGGGGCAGATACCTACTCCCCACAGTCATAAACACACAATCCATGAGTTCTAGAATCTTGGCACAGTGGAGGTGCCACACCCTCTCTGCCTCCACATCCCATTAGAAGGAGCATTGAGGAGTAGGTACCAGCTTGCCATGGCCTGTGGGCCGGGGTATCTTCAAGGCCTTACAGCTCCACTTTCTTCTGCCAGATTAGAGAATCAGCCATATATTGAAGGTAAGCTTCAGGGACATGGGACAGAGGCTGGAGGGGTCTGTTTGCTGGGAGCCTGTGTCGGGCTGTCCTCATGCCTGAAGGGCCTTGATGTGTCCATGTCCTGGTGGGTAGTACATCTTCAGCAGACTGAGAATCCAAACGGTGTCAGGGCAGTTCCATTTTCCAGGGTGACCATGAACACAGGAGG